ATGTTAACCATATATCCAATGCTTTGATATAGCTAACCTACAAAGTATTTTTAATTTAGATTATTTTGCCTTCAACCCAACCATGCTTAGCGATTCAAGCAGAATTTTGATGCATATAAACTGCAAAAAAGTTGCTATCAAAAAAAAGAAACTGACGAAATTTAGATAAATGAATAAAGTAGTTGAAAGCGGAACCTGAGGAAGATCCTGGCGTGCTCCGTTGCTCATTGTTGTCAACGTCAGCAGCGTTGTAATAGTCAGCGTTATTCGTGCAGGAGAAGCTCGAGGGTCAAGCCAAAAGCTCATCCAGGATATGGAAACAAGCATACTTGTTGGAATATATGTTTGAATTATATGAAACAAGACCAGTCGTTTCATGATAATATATGCACGAATACACGACCAGTTACCTGAAGGATATTACTTCATCTGTTCATTGCACCATAAGCTGTCAACAAAGCTATACCCACTACTGCAGCTCATACTAGCCAAGTAGTTTTAGTTTATAAGCTATTAAATACAACAATAAATATCTAAACCTGAGCCTCTAAACATCGGATAAGGACCATTACACTTCTCATACTTGGTTCCAGTAATTAGCATATCATTCAGTTTGATTTCAGCATTGTTACCAATTGGAAAATTTGGTGGATCTACGTGCCATGTAAGGTTAACCATATTTTCCACATAAGAAACTAAATAATTTACTATCATGATAAGAAAAGTTGCGTAATTTTTGCTATCTGTTTATTTTTCTCATATTTGTTCTACGTTTCTTTTCAAACATTTTCTCCCTTAGTTAGATTTTTAACACATAATTGCCGACGAAATTGGTTGAACGCAAATATGGGTGATCAAAAAACAGCAAAAATATCGACAAAAAATCAATCAACTTTTTATCACATTTACATTTTACTTTATGTGGGCGATCAGTCTATTCAGAGTAGTTTCTTTTTTTTTCGTTGCTCTAAAAAACTAATCTATTATTAATGGTAAAGAATGTATAAACTACATTAACAACAACTGTCTCGATAAAACTAATATTAAATTGTTACAGCTTTGAATAAGAATTGGACATTCTTGCTTATCCAGCGGAAATCTTTTCAAATCCATCATGCAAGACAATGTTACATCAATTCTGCAACAAAAAACTGATCTTAACTGATAGTGCATTAGTAGTTGATATTTGTTCATAAATAAATAAGTGAATAAACAGAATAACAAATAAGAAGCTTTAAATTTGGTATTTATGTTTTTTAAATTCTTTAGAATTTTTCAAAACTTCATTCAAAAAAAGTGGAATTAATCAGTTATAGCTCCAGCCTCATTTATCTCTCAACCCCACAATTATCCCCTCACTTGCGAAACATTTTCAAAAAAGATGTTATCCTGGAAAAAAAAGATCAAAA